CTGCAGCACCCCCATCTGTGAGCATACTTGCCAACCCTCCCGATTTTCGCGGGAGACTCCCGATTTCATTGCCCTCTCCCGGTTTCCTCCTGGGGTCATATTTCTCCCGAATTTCTCCCGATTTCTGACAAAATCAGATTTACTCACGACTGTTTCCACTCTGACTTGCCAACAGCTACACCATTGTTTGGTTTCTGTGGTAGCGCGTCTCTTTAGTACCACGCGCAAATGAAAGTCTGAGAGGGTGAGGAAGACAGTCACAGAAAACTGAACAAGAATCGACAACTCAGACCTCTGCTCACTGAGCTGTAGTTATCATCAGCCTCAATTCAACAACAATCCGCGGTACCGATGCGCGCCCTCTCTCTCTCTCTCTTGCTCGCTCGCACTTTGGCTGTGAGCTGCGGGTGCCAGATAAGTCAACATCCCCCACTTTCATCACTTACCCCCAGTTTCCACTGGGTCCGTCTGCGCCGCGGTTTTGGTCTAGCGCCAAAGCGTAGCGTCGTGCGTGCAGGCTCGCAGTTTTGTTATTGATTCGGGTTTAATTCGGGTATTAATTAACTTTAAAACATTAATATGTAGTTGTTACCTTCCACTCCACAAACTGCAGCGACTAAAAACCAGGCCTTGTCCTTTCTGATGTTGTCCTTGTAGTAAGCATTGGTTACATCATATAAAATAGTGTGTTTTTCCACTTCCATGATGAAAACCTCGTCGTCCATTGTGCGTATCGTAGTGGAGGTGTTGTGATGAAGGAGGGGGGTCTGCTAAATTAGTATATGTGGGGGATGGGCCTGGCCCGGATGCTCACCTTTCCACTCCCTGCGAGGGGGGGCTGCCCGCCCGACCTTACGTTACGGCTGCGCCGCGGCAAAAATAGGATTCATCCTAATTTTAGAGAAGCGCTGCGCCGAGCCGCTTCTGGGCCGAGCCGCTTCTGGGCCGCATCTGAGCCGTAACGCGGCGCGTGTGGTGGAATAGCACCCATTGACTAGAGTGGCCGCGATCCCTACGACCGCCGCGGCGCAGCCGTAACGTGGTGCAGCCGTAACGCGGCGCAGCGCGGCGCAGACGGACCCGGTGGAAACTGGGGGTTACAGCGCCCATCGTACAGGGCAAATGAAAAGGGTAACCGGGGTGAAAAGGGTGTTACCTTGACTTAATTATGAATGTTGTTACATCAAGGCTGAAAATTAGGATGAGCCAAACAGTCAAAAATGGTTTTTTCCCTCCTAGAACTACCAGCGAAGCGCTTCCCCAGATATGGCGCCCCAAGGCAGTCGCCTATGCCAAAGACCGGCCCTGGATATTAGCATGATATTTCTTAGCTATCTATTTAGCCCTTGGGGCATTTGTAGATCCTGGTCCTTTTTGACACTTAAATAAGGTTAATTGTAAAAGTATTGGTACAGTAATCATATTAAATTAGCTCAATATTGGACCGCACCTGTCAGAGTCACACCCTACTGTGTGAAATGGTTTATGGCTAATATTTCTCTGGCTCCTTATCGTTAATATTTAACGCTAAAATTGTTTTGTTTGTTTGAGTGTTTTTTCCAATTGTGCCCCAAATACTATTACACTATGCCAGAAACAATAAGAAAATTCTAATCATTTAAACGGTTTACATAGCAACATCAACATGTTCTTAATCTTGATCAAAGCACAATTCTGACTATGGATAGTATTGATGCTGCTTGTAAATGTTCACCATTACTTGTTATTTACTATAATTATACACTAAAATAAATGTACATCAAGGTGCAAAAACGCATCCTTATTCATTTTGCATTTTAAGCAAAAAACCTTGGGAATATGTCATGTTAATATGGTCCAGGTAATCACAGTTCACATAAGACCTTCACTTCTTCATACAATCAATACAAATACTGAATAGACATTGCTTAAATGGTATTATATTATGCAGCTATAGTACAGATCTGTTCAACAGTCTTGTTTAATGTGTTTGTTTCAGGTGAAAGTGGGGCAGGAAAAACAGAAGCGAGTAAATACATCATGCAGTACATCGCAGCCATCACAAACCCAAACCAGAGGGTGGAGGTTGAGAGGTGAGCAGAGACGTGAACCTTTATCTATGAGGGGAGGACTCATTAAGGTAGTGCAGTAAATGGAATTGAGATCCAGATGCAATACACACAAATAATTGAATCATGAGTATATCACATTACCATCAATTGTTTTCTTTTTTCTGACTCAATTTCACTTCTCTGATTTCTCACATGTCTCCGTCATCGGTCACCACCATGTGATGCATCAGTGTGAAGAATGTGCTGCTCAAATCAAACTGTGTGCTGGAGGCCTTTGGGAACGCCAAGACAAATCGCAACGACAACTCCAGCCGCTTCGGCAAGTACATGGACATCAACTTCAACTTCAACGGAGACCCCACCGGAGGAAACATCAACAACTACCTGCTGGAGAAGGTGAGGGGTAGGGGTGGCAGGATGATGGAGGGGCTCTGAGTAAAGACAGGTGACCTTCACGAGCCAAATAAACACAAAAAAACTAGTTATGAGTACTTTTGACAAGAATACTTCTGAAGGAATGTAAAGAAAAGTTGTGCTCATTTATTTTTTCACATCAAACTTTTCAGAGGCGATGTCAAAGAGCTGTGAGGGAACATCCATGAATAGATGTATCTGTGAAGCCGATGTGCTGCTGCTGTCTGACACTCAGAGCTGGTGCAAATGACGGTGCCGTGATTAATTTTCAGAAGGCAGGAATGATCACGCTGCATATACACTGGCAGAAGACAATAGTTAGACTGTTGACTTAACTTGTAATCGGTTTGGTTTTGATTGTCTTGAAGAAAAAAATAATTATACTTAAATCCCTCTTGGGAAATTAGCTGGACTTGATTTTGTTGCCTGGTTGATTTGTCCAATTTCTTTGAAAAAATGGTTTTGCTTTTGAAAAGAGCATTATCTTGGTTTTATCCACATTTAAAAGAAGCTTTAGCTCAGAGAGCTGAGTCTGAATAATGTTAAAAACAGCCTGTAATTTAACAACCGCCTCCTGAATGGAGGGACCTGCACAGGACATCACCGTATCGTCCGCATAGAAATGTAAAGTAGCTTCATCCACATTTTCACCTAAACTGTTGATATATATGGAGAATAAAAGTGGACCTAAAACAGAACCTTGAGGAACACCATTAGCAATGTTTAACCACTCAGAAGACAATAAAGAAGGCAATAACACAAAACAAAAACATCTGCCTCTTCACAATAGTCAATAACAGTGAACGGATGGTTATTAAAGTAAGGTAAAATAAACAGAATCGCATTAAGCCTGGTTAGTGTTGCCTGACTTTATATAAGTGTTTTTTATAAGTGTGTGGTCGCGTTCTAGTCACTTTGCTCAGCGTTACTGCTTGTTACTTGTATTCGCCGACATTGCCGGGTTGCCGAGTGGGGCCAGCTGAGAGAATAGACCAGACTCCAGTAAAGGTAAATTATGTCTAGTGCGCCATCTAGTGGGATCAACTGAAATGCCGGGTATTGCAGGAAAAAGGCAAAATGAATGCGGTCTTTACTATAATTTGGACAATTTTGTACCAATATTCGGCGGGCCGGATTCAAAAGCCCAACGGGCCGTATATGGCCCGCGGGCCTTAGTTTGCCCATGCCTGCACTACATACTCTATATACTGCAGACCTATTGTCTTTATTCTACTATTGACAAAGATGCAGGTTAAAGAACAACGTTTTTAATGCAAGAAAGGATTATGAATGATTGTTTAAGTTACGTTCTCAGACAACGCTCTGCAGCGAGGTGACAATATTGGGTTATCCAGTTATCCTTGGGCTAATCTCGGTTTTCACAAAGCCAAATCCTTTCTTATTGGGGTAGATCACCATGGTAACATGTAAACATTAACACCTGTCAGCAGGCACAATACTGACCATCAACCCACAGGAAAAATACACTCCTACAGGACCCTTCTATGGCTACAAGAAGGGAATGCAAGAAAGATTTCCTTTAGGTTTATATAATCTCTTAGCTGTTCAATCTGGGTTTAACACACACACACACACACACACACACACACACACACACACACACACACACACACACACACACACACCTCATTATTGTAAATGCAACACTTCAGATGGACCTCAACAGGCTTGCTTTTGTAATAGTATAGTGTAACATTGCGTTTAAACTTTTTAAATTTCAAAAAGTTTAAAAAACTCTAATAATGAGAATGTTGGAAATTCTAGAAAAGACATCTATATATAAACAATCCTTCGATGGTTGCTTTAATATCATATGAAGTACTTCTCATTTCCATCCCGTCTCTGTCCCGTGAACAGCTCACAGCATAGTGAACAGAGCCAGTTCACAAGCAGCCTCTCACAGTTCTTTAGAAACACGAAGGTTACCAGCGGCATTGACACAATAATTATATTTAACGTTTCATGTTGAAGGAATGCTCACCTGTCCACTTCGTCACGTGTCACGATGTCTCCTTTCTTCAGGGCTTTGATGGCGCACAGCTTGCTGGACTTCTTATACTCTGCCAGCAGCACCTTTCATCAGTCACAAGATACAGAGGCAATATGAATGCAACTCAACCTTCATATCTTAAACATTTCTAACACTACAGAGTACAGACGGGGGCTGAGGGAGGGAGGGGTTTTGGAGGGACTTTGACTGGGGAAGATGAGATTGACACCTTTTACCTTCATTTCTCCCTCACTCAGATCTTTGGTTATGCTCTGGACACTTCTACAGGTAGAACAAGGAGAGTAGATGCGTACCTTACCAAAGTGACCTCTCCCCAGGACTGAAATGCAGTTGAAGTCTCCCATGTGAAGTCCTTGGTCCATGCTGCAAGAAAGTGCAAAAGAGCACGGATTGAAGAACTCCTCACCCATTTTGATCATTTTCTAATAGTTCTGTGTCCTCTGCGATCATATCATAAATACAAAGGGTCTTTAATGGCATCATGCATAACAAAGAAGAAAGGCCAAAGTTAGGGTGGTAAATATATTATGTATAATTTTACAGTTTAAACTTAATATACAGAAAATATATTAAAGGTCACCTGTTGTGCAAAAGTCCCTTTGTCATGTCTTTCATACATAAATATGTAAATAAATATAATATGTGTATTAATAGTCTGAAAGTCTCAGGAACAAAAAACCCTCTTTTTGTTCTGATCCATGTAAAGGGAAATTCATTTGGTGAGCCTTAATCTTCATTTTCTTTAGGTCTATGCACTTGACCACTCATGATTATGTAAGTGTAGTGTTCCAGTAATGTACAGATGGACAGCAACCTTTGGTTTGTTTGTTCTAACGTGGGACTCCAAGGATAGGGGTCCAGCTTATGGCTATGTGTCCTTCAACAGCAGTGGCTGCCTATGGAACTCGGGTGGATAAAAGCCAGCTGGACAGAAGGAGATGGGGTCACACTTCCCCAGGCCTACGCGGCAGACGAACTCTGTCCCTGTACAGCTGAGCAGCATACCACTGCTCTGTTTGTGTTCAATCATTGTTTTTGTTCCTTTTGTAATAAATGTTCAAGATTTGAGAGAAGTCTGAATGCTTTTCATTTCTCACCAGGAAATACATTCATTTCCACCACAATCCATTTCTATAAAAACCTGTCTGAAAATGAGCTGATCAGATGTTGGCCACTCTGTGATGTCACAATGTTGTTTGGGTAGTGCAACCATTAGCCAATCGCCAACCAAGGTAACCCCCCCACCTTTTCACCTGACTCTCCTCCTAGAGCACCAATGTTTTTTTTTTAACCAATCACTTCACAGGGGGGCGTGGCCAGCAGCTCATTAGCATTTAAAGCTAAAGAGACAGAATCAGCACTTTTGAAACAGGGCTGAAACAGAGGGGATTATGGGATGCTGCAATGATCTGTTTGGTGTTTCAACCAATCAGAGACGTGTTCTGTATATATCTGAGACCTGTGATATATTGATGAAAAAGAGTATAATAGGGGACCTTTACAGCTGATATACCCTCTCAGTAGGACTTACTGTGGGGAGGGATGAAACGAGGGATTTCTCCTGGGCTTCGGGCTCTTGTTCTCACTAGGACACTGTCAGGGAATAGAATTAAAGAAAAATTGATTTCAAGAGAGAAACAGGACACACCACTATATTAAACAAAGTAAATATTATCTGCCATTAATCCCTTATTTCTAGGGGTGCACCGAATGGGAAATTCTTGGCCGAAACCGATACCGAATAAGGGATTAATGGCAGATAATATTTACTTTGTTTAATATAGTGGTGTGTNGTTACTTCTACGCTGCTTTCTTGTTCCAGTATGAAAAGCAAACTGCCTGTTTGCTTTTCAGCCCAACGGTATACTGTTTTACTCAGACGCGGAGGGATACTGACTTGTTGTGAAAAGTAACTTACAATTCTACCCTTACGCTCAGTATATCACGGCTAAGAACCAATCAGATTGCTTTATTTGACTTGTCCGTTTTATAATATTCAAATATAGCATGATAGGTCCACTTTAAGTGATTCATGAAAAAAAAAGATATTGATGTATGATGATTTAATTGCAGTTTTTTGGGGCGTGTACATTTTTGCCACGAAGGTGTCGAAAGGATGAACATTTGAATAGGGCACAAGGGATATTTCAGATCTGTGGGAAACACTGCATCTGTATATTCTTGGCAATAAACCTGATTCTGACTGCTTTGTGTGATGTAAGCCACTTAAGATTCACTTTTTATATCTATTTCTGGAGATGTAATGATATCCACGGCCTTCTTTATCAATTAGAATTTGCTCACGTGCCATCAAATGACTTCAGTATGACGCTATGGTCATGTGACAATATGTGGTGGTATAATGATGAGATTATAACCCCCGACCCTTTCTTAGCTCACATGATGACACCTGGAGAGGCTCCACTCACTGATCATGGGATTCAATTGAAAGCACCACATCGTTGTACTTAATGTTTCTTAACATTTGTTTACATTGTTTTAAAGTGGATTTAAGTTATCTACACAGCTGTTGTATTACTTCTTCTTATGTTACAATATCTGTATTATGAGCTGAAACAAAGAGGACAACATTGGAAAACTGTAGTTTAACTGTTAGTTAAATGTAAAAGTAACTGTTGCAGTCTATGATCTTCTATAAATATTTTTGATACGGCAACACATCAAATAAAATAACTATGTACTTCTATGAAAATAATGTTTTCTTTTCATTTGTTGTATGTTGTTTTTCTTCCACTGTAGGTGACTTTATTTGATTTCTACCTTCATACTTGAAACCATTTTGTATATGTTGTAGAGCTTGTTTATCATGAGGTTTGTAGTTGTTTCCCTGTGATACTTGAGGTCACTCACCAGGGTGATGCGTTGTGATTGGATAACTCACAGGATGGCTATTTCTCTTCAATGTACTTTGTTTTTCTTGGACCTTGTCTGTATAAATAGTTTGTTAGTATTGAATTAGTTGATTAAATACAAATATATATCTAAAATAAGAACACATGTCTTTCAGAGGTTGCTTAACTAGAATGATTCCGTATGTAAATAAAGAGTAATCAGGGACTTCATGAGCTGTTTTAACATGATGTGTTGCAGAGCATTGACCTTAAGAGTACCCTGACTGATCATGTGTGTTCCTTACGTTGGCCAGGTAGTCCCTCTCCCAGGCTCTGCTGAACCCCCAGTCCTTCCTCTCTCCGCTCAGTGCAGTCAGAGCTGCCACTTTGGCCCGGACCTCCAGCATGTCAGACGGGGGGATGTTCTTCACGATCTGCCTCGCCCACCACCTGACAACATGGGGTGGCAACAACACAGAGGGTCAGCTGGGTGGAATAAACATCAAAGGTGCAACTGAGGACCATACAGTAGGAGGAAAAGCTTCAAGATTAGACTGTGTTACTCATTCAAGTTATTCTGCAACCATTAGAAGACTAGGCCAACTTTGTTTTGGTTTAGATTCAACGTTATTGTCATTGCACAGAGTACAAGTACTGAGACAACCAAAGGCAATTAGCATCCAACCAAAATGTGCAAAAGAAACAGTAAACTACAGTGTTAAGTATAGTATAATATAAGTATATAGATATACAGAATACAGTATGAACAGTATTTATGAGTATAAACTGTGTAGATATGAGTAGGCTACAGAAGCTGTTTGGACAGAATCAAATAACTAAAATAACTAACGTGCGAAATCAGTATAGAAATGATAGCCGATTAATAGTTAAAGTCATTTCCACACAAATATGGCACAAAAAAAGGTTTTCAGTATTTTATCATATAAAAGTGGAAATATTTAGGTTTTGGACTGAGAAAATAAGAAATGTCAAGACATTACCTTGGAACTTTCAATTTCATTGACCAAATTATTCATCTTGAAAATAATCAGCAGATGAATAGGTAAGCAAAATAATGATGAAGTTCTGCCCTGGTTAAATGATTGTTTTACAAGTAGATGAGAAAATGTATGGCACTCTTGGTCTGTTTGGTCAACATGAAGCTATAAGGTGGAAGGAAACAGTTAGCCTGACTCTGTCCAAAAGTAACAAAACCTGCCTACCAGTACCTCTTGGGTTTACTAATGAACAAGTTGCATTTTGTATATTTTATCTAGATCAGTGGTGATCACTATTACGTCTGGGTCTCTGTGTTTCATTAAAGCTCGGCTCTGTGTGTGTGTGTGGAACGAGCCATTTTTTGTGCGTGCGCGAGCAAGAGAGAGAGAGAGAGCACCGGTACCGGAGATCGTTGTTGTTAGCTTCTGGTGCTAGAGAGCTACGCTAACGGATATAAGGAGTTTTTTCAACAACAAAGTGGAGGAGAGTCCTCTCCTGTCAGACTGAGAGGCTCAGTGAGCTAAAGGACTCTCTCAGTGTTATCTCAGTGTGTCTCAAAGGCAAACGAGGCACACGTTTATATGATCATTATAGTTATAAAAAAACATGAGAATAAATGAAAAACAGGTATGAAATACTATATGGCAGTAAAACAAGAATAAAGTTTAAAAGGGTGATTTCTAAAATATCCATAAAGAAAAAGTAAATCTGCTAACAGTTCTCTTTCATATGGGTGTTGAGAGATGTATCCATAGATCTCTTCATGTTGCTCTCAAAGTGCACCAGATTGATGCTTTTAACTTCAATATTTAAAAATAAATCTTCCCGGGGGAGCATCCCCCCGGACCCCCCTATGTGAGGTCCACACACCACCTATAAAAATAGCACTTTACCCCTGCTTACACCTATATGCCGTGAGCTGATTACCGAGCCTTCATTGTAACAGTCGCGGGTACACTGTGTGTGTGTGTGTGGGGATTGTTGCAGTAGAACATTCCACTGTACCGACCGGTACATTAATGGGAAACCCTAAATGTTTGAGCACCCTCTATGAAACGTCAAGCTACCCCACAGCACCCCCAAAATAAATCTCTGGCGCCGCCACTGAGCCTGACTATTTGTGTTGGGGGGGGCCCGACTTTTTTTTTTCTCCAAAGGGGGGGAGCCTGACAGAAAAAGTTTGGGAACCACTGCACTAGATGATAAAAAGTGTTTTCAGGGTTTTTCTTCATCTTTTCATCCACCGGCGGTGTCTAGACTCCGTCCTGTCGCAAGGCTTCTATACCCCGTAATAATTAGTTCATTATTAGCGACGGACTCTAATCTCCAAAGACTCTCACACTTGATTCTAATGTGCAACATGTCTATACATTAATTGTCACTCTTAAATGAAGTCCCTCCTGATTGAGATGCTGTGTGAGCTGTATTGAGTGTGATCTGACCTGCGGTGCAGCATGACGGTGTTGTTGTGGAACTGGGACAGCGCTACGGGCGGGGTTGGCCACTCCACGCTCCTCCCGTAGTCGGCCATGGTGCGCACATTGGTGAACCTCCTCTCCACCTCCCAGAAGTGGGCTTTCACCTTGTAGCGCTTAAAGCAGCCCATGATGGCGTAGATAGCCCTCATTCGCCGGCACCTCCTGCGAGCCAGAGCCCCTCGCCACACCTTTTAGAGTTTTAGAAAAAAAAGAGGGACGTGTTAATGACAGAATCAGGAGAGGAGGGACGAGAGAGTCCCACTGAGCTCTTGCTCCAGTTATAGAGCCACACTTCTCTGAAAAGACATCAAAGTAGGTCATGTGAAAGAGAAAGGAGTGGGAGTTTCATTGAGCAAGTGAACTAATTGACTATAATGTCTGGATCTCATTAATTATCATAATTATTGCTACAGGAAATTTAAATTGGAGCTGGAATTTCAGTCAAGCATAACCAGAAGCCACATATTGATGAGGCTTTGAGACACAGAGAAGTGCGTTTGAAAGTAAAGAAGAAACGCTATGGATGATGAACTCGGTCACATGATGAGCTGCTTGTGACTTTACAGTGGTGCTCTCTGTCAATAATAGGAATGTCAGATTCATCCATTCTAATGAATGCATAATGTAGAGATATGACATTACAAATTGTTTTGAGGCTGAGGAAGAATATACTAAAAGCATCGCTGATGCGAACATACAAAAATAATTGGACTGACCTCATAGCATGTCAGGTCATGTACAGAGGAAAAAAACGATTATTTCTCAAATAAAAATCTTATATCAAAGAGATAGTAAGCATCATTTATAATGAATTTGTATTTTCAAGGATAGGAAAAGAGGAGAACTAATGCATAATATCGGTCTTTTATAGTCAAATAAGTACATTTATGGATAAAAGTATAGCGAGAAAATGAAATGTAAGGCATTTAAAGTAGCAGCTTTAAATTACTAATTCCAAAATGGAATGGAAGTGGGAAGAAAGGTTCAAATGTATGGTATCATTATAAAAGGGAAATGAAAATAATGAAAAATAATAAACAAAATATTGTTTTATTGTCATTTACCAAGTGGTGAGCTATCAGTCACAAATAAAACATCTAAGTTAGCCTGCATAGTGGGTTTGTTTTTAGTTTGATCAAATACAAGAAAAATTGATAGAAGTTTTTCCTACTTCTTTTTGGAAAATATACAACTAATATAGTAGTATATTTGCTGTATCTATAAATAAAATGAATAAATATGAAATGTTTGAAATAAAATCTAAATATAATATAAAATGTATACAAAACTAATATGGCCGACCTTCTGCAGGAAAAGCACCAGGATGGGGATGAGGGCGGCTCTCTCCTGCTCCAGAGTGTAGAGAGAGCGAGGCGAGCGCACAAACAGCTTGGTGTGTCCGTACGCCACGTCGTCCTGGAAACCGTGCTGGGTGATGATGGCCTCCACCGCCTCTCTGTCCGACGCCATCAGGTGGTTCGGCCAGGTGTACTCGCACGTCATTTTATACCTGAAAAAGAAGAAAGAGGAAAATTAGGGCTTACAGTAAGATGACCACAGTGTTGTTCTATAAATATGAAAGTAGAACTATTGTTACTGTAACTGAAAGGTTTTTAATGTATCTGTAAAAGTCTTCTGAGTTGTTTAAGTTAAAGGCTCACCTGTTGATATACATGTATGTATCATCCAGGGGTAGAGCTTCTAAGCTGTTAGAAACAGTTTTACAATTTCTGGTATGGAGATTTGCAAGGTTTGATACAATTACTCACAAAGACCAAATTGACAATATGCATGCGGTACAAAACACTTTTACGAAGTAAAATTCCATCATAGTAACAAGGAGTACTGGATAGTTTGGTACATGTACCATCCCTGGTGTTACACTGAGCTGCTGTAGTAAACCAGAAAGCACAGGACTATCTTTATGGAGTAAAAGAGCATCACTGACCGCTGCAGGACGCGAGCGTAATGCTGCCTGTAGGCGAAGCCCGCTCTGCGCACCATCACATTCTCCATCAGGCCCAGGTAGGCCACCTGGTGCTGGCAGCGAGCGTCGTCAAACAGCACCTGAGACTTCATCTCGTTGGGCTTGATGCACCGCACGTAGTAGGGCTCCTGGAGGACAAGACAGAAGAGATGGAGGTCAATCCTCAGCTTTGATCCCATGTTGTTTTGCTGCAGCACTGAGGAGAGCATGATAAACTGCTTGGTTTTATTTACTGTAAAACTTACCAGCATCACATTACTGCAACTAGCTTGAGCAAAAATGTACAGAAAGATATACTGTAATACCGCAGTCAAATTCCCCTGTATTTTAAAGCAATCCGTTTGGTTGTTATTTTATTTTAATTTGTTTGTGTATGTATTTATTTTCCAAAATATATATTCATATTTTATTAGATTATTTTCGTTTAATTTGTATTATTATTTTTTAATTCTTGTGTCTTTTACATCATGTCTGTAAATATGGAAAATGGATGGCAATGCCATGTTTTGATTCTTTGAAAATGATCCTTTACAATAAAATCATTAAAACACTTTTTTCTCAACACTCTTGTTTTATCGCCTGCACAAACTTGTTGATTGTTTTTATCATTTTGTATCACTGCTAGGTTAATCACTGTGCGAATAAATAAACTACACTGACTAGCACAGAGCCACAGCCGAGTTGCAAAACTGTAAAGCTGAGTTCACTGACCTTAATCAGACTCGCAGAATATTTCTACAGAGGCTACAGTGAGCAGCTGAGCCTCATAACACATCCAGCACATCTACTGATTAACAGCACATCTAACTGCCAATATAAACCTTGAAAACGATAGAGCCTTCAGTGTGGGGTAACCGCCGCACGCCTGCACCTTGTCAGGGATCTTTTAGGGAAAGGGACTGTGTGTCAAGGTCGATGAAAGATGAAGAAGTTGGGATAAAGTGACCACTTTCTGCTCCCCGGCACTAACGTTCATCATGACAAAGATGCATGCGCCTCGGTGCCCCCAGTTTCAACTTGTTTTGGCAGAGATAGAGAAGAGGACTCAGTTAATGGGAGCAGATGGGGTGGGCAGAATGGGCACAGGTGCTTCTGTTTGGCAGATGAGGAAAACATCCGCTCTTTCATCGTGGCCTGAAGGTTGCCAGGGGAGTTTCCATTTGACCCCTGCCACGGCCCCCACCGAGACCAGACGTTACAGCATCCTGACAGCAGGCCGCCCCAAAATAACAGCAGGAAATGTCAGACTTCAGTCAGGGAGATGAGGCCAGGTGAGGGGAGCAGCACATTTTGTGAAGCAGCACCACCTCCCCCTCACCAACATGTCAACTCCACAGGCAGCCTGACAGGATGAGGACAAGCGCCCTACAAAAACTGTTACTCCCTGACACCAAAAACAGCACGCTGCTCTGTATACATGTTCCTGCTGGACGGCTGCATACTGCCTCTCGCTTTATTTTTTGTCATTCACAGTGACAGGCCGTCCTCCCAGAAGAGACATCACACATTGGCAGCCTCAGAATAGCGCGTGACTCACACAGGCTTTAGAGAGCAGAACAGGGAAACTGGTGCAGAGCATCTTCCTGAAGATGACAGCAGTGTAAACTCCTGAAGATGACAGCAGTGTAAACTTGGGAGGAGATCTACGCTCAACACCAAAAACTCCACATATCAAGATAAGATATCACAACATAAAACCTACAGTACCTATCAAGAATGAAATTGTCTGAGATTTGGTTCTGACTTTTGAAGCTCTGTTTTACCCATAGAATGTATACAATTTGGCAAAGTCTCCGTGAAGTCACCAATTGGTTTCTGAAGAGGCGTTGTGACTCAAGGAGCTCAAAATGCAGCTTCTGGTCATCACCAGAAAAGTAGTTTTCCGCTGTAAAGTTGGGCCTTTTACCATGGGGGTTTATAGACATTATCTCCATTTTGGAGCAAGCCTTAAGTGGCCTATCGAATAACTGCAATGTTGGGTCTTACACATGTTTTCACTACTCAGCCCCAGCAACTACCACATTTTTTCACCAGGTCAAACAACAAAATGTGTAGTTGCTACAAAACAAAGCTGGAAAATAAGTCAAACCACAGTAACTGGGTGTGTAGCAGAGGTGGGAGTATCTTAGATGTGCAAGTCATGAGCACGTCTCAAGTCTTAACCTACAAGTCTCCAGCAAGTCCCAAGTCACTGTGGTGAGAGTCAAGCAAGTCAAGTCAAGTCATTGCGCAGGTCAAGCAAGTCACAAGTCAAGTCTTACAAAATTCTGAATATCCGAATATTCGTTCGTTGGAGTACTATTCGGGTTTCAATTTCGTTATTCGGATATTAGTTTTTTTTTGTCTTTGTTTTTTGTTTTGGATTTATTGAAATCTCCAATATTAACATAAGAGCTTGTGCCTCTTTGGGGGGTGCTAACACTTAACCATAAACGTTATCGTTTACTTTCCCCGTATTTATATGTAGATATTACTTTTTCTCCATTAATCTCCGTTACGTTAAATAAAAGCATGTCCATAAAAAATAGGAAGCCAAGCCAAATTACACTTAAGACATATACAACTGCAATGAAAGTAACACACACAATGCAATATCCTTTTCAATTTCAAAGAACACAAATTGGGTTATATACATTATTATACATTTCATGAAGTGAATGATGGTCCGAGTTCAAAATATATCTAAAATAATGTATGGACTGCCATTTCCCAACATAAACATTACAGTCTGCAATGAAACACCCGTCTCCTGTGTGCTCCACATCCTACTTGGCGCTCTGGTAACTTTCTTGTGCGAACGAGATACAGTATATATTTGTTTTCATTGCCCTTTCTTTGTACAATACAAAAACAAATGCAAATATTTAATTTTAAAAAGTCCTTTCGAGTCATCTGTCTCAAGTCAAGTCAAGTATCAAGTCATGAATACCAAGTCGAGGTCAAGCAAGTCTCAAGTCCAAAAATATGCGACTCGAGTCTGACTCGACACCTCTGGTGTGTAGCCTAATAAACAACTCAACATGACAACTATATCAAATGTTAGCTAGCTGATGAAATAGCTGTGGTTAGCTTAAAGTTAGAAAACAATTTTTTCTTAGCTCAAATACAACAATGTAAAACAATTTTGAATTTATGAATCCACAGAACTTTATGAAGCAGTCATAAAAGACAAAAAAATTACGAAAACTTCTGCTATAGTTGATTAACTTCATCAAATGTTAGCTAGCTGGTGAGACAGTCATAGCTAAAGCTACAACTATTAGTTAGTTAGTTAGTTAGTTGTCTGTATCTTCAAATTATTAATTTTAATCTTGGTAGTTCATTTATATAAATACATTTTGCAGTAGTAAATCAGGCATGAGTGGACCGAGAACAAATGGTTGCCAAGCTAACTAGCCTAGCAATACTTTCATTTAAATGTATTAAAAATGTTTTTGTATTAATTGGATTTCAATAAACATAATCAGACAAGAGTCATTGATTAAAAGAGATTGATTTAATTCCTAAATTCCCAAAACTATAGACTGTAAATAGTTTAAACAAAGCAGATTCATTTTTTTAAAATATATTATGATATTAGATATTTATTATGTAGGCCATATACAAAATAAATTAGTCTAATGGGCACAACATGGTGGCATTACAAATGTTATCTGAAGCACAGTTTCCCTGCCAGCCTGAAAACTTTAAAGCTTTTTTCTCAACTTCACAAATTCCATAATTACTGCTGTCTTTATAGAGATACTTGGCTCTACTTTAAACTTGTCAGAATTAGGTATCTTCAATCCGTCTAAATAAGGCAAATGCCAACCACAGCTTCCCTTGAGGGTGAAACGAAAGAGAACAGAAAGTCAATCTTAAGCTGAAATCACTGACCTTGCAGCCCAGTTTATCCACCAAGGCCACAATGGAGTTCTTGAAGAGTGTGGCTGCGGTCAGAGGTCGCTTTGTGACCTCTGTGATGCTCAGCTGACCATCTGGCCACATCTCCTTCATGACTGGGTTGGCACTACGACAGACAGAGAAAGGGGAGCAAAAACAATGGGGCAAAAAAGAAGATAGGACGTCATTAACTTTGTAGCAGAGTAGTGATGGCAAGTGATACACTGAACCCAGTTAACTGAACTGTCAAGAGCGTCGTGATGTTTGGCACCTGTTGTACATGAGACGCTTGAAATCTTGGAAAAGCAGGTCCTTGTTTTTGTCCAAAAAGCCCTCGACGGAATATCTGTAATAGATATAGGGGGAGAATGTGAGAGTTAAAAAAAGGAAGAGGGGAGCATCACTGAAAACGCACTTGAAGTGAAGAGGTCAGAATAAGATGTTACATTTGAAAGCATATCAGACAGAAACCAGCCAAGTTTAAGCAACAGTCATTAAAGGGTCATATTCAGTACTCCACTCTCTGCTACAAATGATTCAACGTCCTCAGGCTGGAGGATTATAGCAACACTCGTGACGCTTAGACGATTTACAAATTAGGAACACGGTCAAATGTTCCCCCACGGCTCACGTTTTAGAGGAAAAAACTAACTACGAACTAATCTGTGTGTCTTTTCTTTTAACTGCTCAGTTGGTTTTAGTGAGGCATCAGCAGGGGGTCACTGGCGCACTGTAACAGTTATATAAGCCGTCCAGTCTCAGGGATAAAAGGCTGCTGTAGTGTTGCCTCAAATAAACTTGTACCCTCTCATCAGTTGCTCACAATGTAACAACAACTTACAGTGTGGATGATGAAGAAGGAAAAGAAGAAAACAAGTTCTGCTACACAAATGTATTTTTTGGGGGGGACTTTATTTTTAAAAAGGGGCCCTATTTTCTTCATTTTCAGGTTCATATCAGTATGTAGTGTCTCTCCTGTGACATGTCTCCATGCTTTAATGTTCAAAAAGCTCTTTATTTTTCTCATACTGCCTGTGCTGCAGCACCTCTTTTCACCCTCTGTCTGAAACCAGAGCCCAGTCTGCTCTGATTGGTTAGCTGGCTGGCTCTGTTGTGATTGGTCAACCGCTGAGAGATGTGTCGCCACTTAGTCTATCACATACAATGTGGTGGAGCACTAGCCAATAGAAGCACAAGTGTTACATAGTGATGTCGCTATGTTACAGAAGCGAACTAGGTTCCCAGTGCTTCTCAGAGTATTTGCAGTCTATGGCTCTTCTGCACAGGGTCTCTTGCTCTCCTCTTAGCAGTCCCTCCCTCGCTGCTGCAACAACACCACCATAAAGCTTTATGCAAATAAACTTGCGATGACATTCCCAATACTCAGATGAGAGTGTGGGAGTGATGATAGAAAAGAGTTGGCAACACTGCACAGGACACACTGCATTTTGTTGTTCACGACTTTAAAACAAGTTTTTTTCCCGGGAGATAGTACCGTGGCGGAAAGAATGGCAAAGTGAAAGCGAGGCGTATAGGGATCCAATTTAATCCCAGTTGGTGTCATTACTCTACAGCAATTACATGGTGCGATCAACATTTACTTCATAATGATAAGCAAAAAAATACCCTATAACGAATACAGTTCCTGTTAGAATGAAGAATAAGTACAGGATTGTTAGAAGCCAAATGTAAAGCCTTTTGATGAATTGCAATCTTTTTGCTCTTCCAAAGTCTTCACTGCTCAGCCCCAGGTAAACTGTACTTGAGTACGGTACTGTACTGACTACAGTAGTTCACACTGATCCACACACTTGTTTGTCTCAGCATCCCTCCCTCTAAACAAACAGACACACAGCATGTTATTTGTGTCCTGCATGGCCCTGACTGTGACTGTGTCCTCGACTCTCACATCTGGAGGCAGAGAAGCGAGGTCCTGGCTGTAACAGATGTGTTCCCTGGGTTCACGGGCGGCCACACCACCTGACCAAATCCCGGGAAGCTTGCCGCAGAGAGACAGAGTGTGAAAGGAGGAGAGAAAGAAGTCAGAACAACAGAAAAACAAGCCACAGTGCACATTTACAAGGACAGGACAGGAGAGGACAGGACGGGAGAGGACAGATGAAGGCAGCTGCTCTCCAGAGACAGGAGCATGATTTAGAGGAAAGTATATTAATGTATGAAGGTCAAGGGCTGTTGGAAAGAGAGGACTGTGGTGTACAAGGGTAAAGAGAGCTGACACATGCATGCAATATCCCTTTTTCTGGGAACACATTCCTATAAGCTGTACACATGGTTAATACAAATGAATATTCCTCTGATATTCCGGCACACATGCACCCGTGTGTGATTGGATTAACGTAAACAGGCAATAGTGTGTTGCAAACTGCAGGGAAACCTCATAAGACATACTGTATACTCTTACTGCACAGTATACATGTCCAAAGAGCGCTCATAAAACCTTTATATTATAGACAGATCCTTCTGTCTTAACTGAAAAAGTGATGCTTTCCAAATAGAATACTTAAATGATCCTAATCTAAAATAGAGAGATTAGAACATGATTGTTCACATAGTCACAGAGAGATCCAGGCAACAAAGATGTGAGATTTCTCGGTATATAAAGTTGTGCAGTGAGGGAATATGATATATATCGTATGGCTGATGAAAGTGCTGCATGTGCAGGTTGGAATACTGCAGGGATTTAAAATGTGGACGACAAAGAGAGTCAGGTGAGGGTTGCAGTACAGAGGCAGGAGGGAAGAAAGTGGAGAAGGGAAGGAGGAGGGAGCGAAGTAGGTCAAAGCTGGGGATAGTGGTGTTGTGAGAGGGGAGGGTGGGGCCTGAAGGATGAGCGTTTATTTAACCAGAGTGGACTCGGATGCGGGGGCATGAGACAGGGGATGACGGGGGGCCGGAGCCACCAGGAAGCGACGTACGTGGCGAGACGTGAGGCAGGGGGACGGGAGCCGCCATCTGTCAGCACACTGCAGGTCTGACACACTTTGACGCAGCGTAACCACTGTTAGTACTGTGCTGTACTTATGTGTTTTCTAAAACATTAAATAAACATCACTGAATCAAGGTTTAAGCATTCTTACGTATATACTTTAAATAGAAACACATGAGGAGCTTTTAAAATATGATGCATTATAAGGGGTTAATGACCCAAAACAGTGGTGGAGTATCCAGATGCTTCACTTCAGTAAAAGTACTTATTGAAAACTATGAAAATATGTGGGAATTTATATCGGATATGTAAGTACAATCGGGATTTTTGTCTTAAAAGAAAAAGTACTCAATAAAAAAATGACCCCTGTTACTGTTATATTATGATATATGTATTATTTGTGCATTAGTGTTAAAATGGGATGTACTGGCTGTATCTGGGGATGTGTTGATCATTATGACCTAATAACTAATCGTGGATTGTTTGGTTTGTAAAAACAAATGTAAGCTGTGAGATAAATGTACTGAAGTACAATACTTTCCTTTGAGTTGTAGTGAAGTAGAGGTCGAAAGTAGCATGAAAAGACAAATACAATTTGTATTTAAGTACAGTTCTTGAGTCAAAGTACTTTGCTACATTACACCACTTCCCAACCTAACCATCATTGCAGTCAGATTCCACTAGTAATGATTTTTTGTTCATCATTCAGGGGGTTTTGTACTGGAAGCGTAATTATCTGCAGAGGTCTACTTTCCTTCAAAACAAGGTGATTCAAACCTCTACACCAAAATATCAAATCAGATTTTCTCCCAAGCTGTTTGAGTGATCGAGTAGCTAATGTTCAAGGTAGAAAGGTCTAAAATAGAAAAAAAGAAGGTGTATTGGGAAAAAAAGGGGCTTGAAGCTGGATAGAAAAACTAAATGTATGATGACAAACACATGTTCAAAGGGGAGAGAAATTACAAGCTACTAAATAAAACACACAGATTTCTCTTTTTGGTATAATGTAAGCACTGCAATGTATAACATAGATCCAGTCGTTTTCCGACATTTTAATATACCGTAATTTTCGGACTATAAACCGCGACTTTTTCCCTATTTTTCGACGCTGCGGTTTATATAACGGTGCGGCTAATCTATGGATTGTTACAGCTAACGGCCAACACCTTTAACTCTATGGGCTCTATGGCCGGTCCGCGGACCCCCACCTTTCAGCGGCGGGTTCCAGCAGGAAAAGCTGGAGGCCGGAAAAGAGTGAGACAGGTAGCGCGCAAGAGTAAAAGTGGAACCGAGAGTGGTATGCCGCTGCTGCGGCTTATATTCAGGTGCGGCTTATAGTCCGAAAATTACGGTACATATACCTACATGCAAAGGGTCTGAATACTACTGAACTTTGACAAGGGGAGAGCAGTTATGGAGGACAATCACAGTGCAGTAATTGCCTGTGAAAGTCGTTTTGAGCTTGGATGAAGTTGCTCTGTGTTTTGTGTGTACGATGTGGTGTTAGCCTGGATTTCCCCGAGTCACAAACCCTACTCCTTGATTACTGCAGCAGCTACATCTCTCAGAGCCAAAGCCGTCTCAAAGCCTTTAAATGCATGTACTGAATTCATTTCTTTCAAGATATAATCAAGCCCATGAATTCTGTTGAAGTGGCTCTGTCTTTTTTCAAATCCCCTACCAAATCTCACAAAGGCAAAGATATTCACAGAAAGGATCTTTATAAATGAAAATGCTTGAAATTAGAATTTGTATGTCTAATCTGACACATGCTTCTGGTGTGGTTGGGAATATCAGCAAATGATCATGGTCATTCGATCTGACATTTGCATCATAGCTTGGATCAGATCTTTCTTTTAACAAGAAGATGTGTCAGAAGACGTAGGAAATCCGTCAAAGTGTCACCAGCCATAGAATAAAGGGAATAATGAAAACAAAGAATGAGTCATAAAATAAGAAATGTTACAAATCAAAGCTGCAATAGAGTGGTGCAGTGATAACGTATTATTGTAGCCCTGGATGTTAGCAGAGCAAGGATCATCTCCACATATTAACGCCATTTTTGGTACAATCACCAGAAGTAAAAAGCTGACATTAGGCTATAAAGGAACTACATCAAAGTCGCACATCACAACTGCTATGCTAAAGGCATCCAGTGTGACGATGTTCAGTAGTCTCATTAGCCACTTCTTAGCAACTACCATTTTTTAAACACCTAAAACTCAAAGTGTCCTAAGCTTAACCATATCTAACCAAAAGCTCTTTAAAAAAAACAATTGACTTCAGGACGAGGGTAGTAGTCTCATTTTGCCACCGCTGTTTCTATGACACACAGAAGCTTTGGACATTCACCATTGGGGTATTTACTGATGTCATTTATGAAAATCTCTTCAGCTTGTGTTAACCACAGTTTTTTCTTTCATGACAGCATCACGCCTCTAAAATGCCATGTGTGTTGATCATCAATACATTTGTATCCGTGTGCTGGCTGTGCAGGTCAGTGGATGCACTGAGTATGCGGGTGAACTGTTTTTAAATGTGTTTTTACATGGGTGGATTGTACAGTACATATAATGCCTTAAATAAACACGTATACAACCGGATGACATCCTAAACTTATACTGATAAGTCATAACGTTGGCTTTTAAGGTATAAGGCAAACTTACAAGACTATTTTTCTTAAACAAAGTTGATCCCATAAAAACTTGTGGCTTCAACAGGAGCATGAACCATCGTTACCCTCTCTCATCGTAGGGCTGGGCAATATATTGATATTATATGGATATTGTGATATAGGACTGGATACTGCTTAGGTTTTTAGTATCATTATACCCTAACATGACATAAGAAGTGTATTTTTCTAGGTTTTATAGGCTGCTTTTCATTCAAATGATGCACTTCTGTGAATTAACCAACATTTTCTAGCTGTTCCATCATCATTATATTCATAGGCGGCGAAGGCTAAATCAAATTTTTTTACCTGACGCTGCCCGCCTCCGGCGTCTATAGAAAAGAGATCAACTCAGTGAAAGCACCGCCTGCTGACAAATCAGAGCTTAGTGTGCGGAGTTTAAATCTATCAAGTCATATCACAGGATAAAGGAAATACAGTTTAAACTGCCGTATGCAGAGAAGACGCCGACGTGTTGCACTTATCATTCATATCACATTCAATCAGATCATATATTTCCTTATCCGAGTCAGCTTCTCGAGGCGTATCTGGCCGTGCAACACTTACAGTGTAACATACTGTATGCAGAAGTATTATTTTAAGCAACACATTAGGTTGACGAAACACTCAACTCAAATGTAATTAAAGTCAGATCCACTCGTGTCTTAGATGGGGGAGTGATATCATAAAACTGTTCTACGCATTCAAACACTCTGTAGTTTATTTATTTTAACAGTTGTTGTCTATATTCACCTTGCAGGTGGCAACTAATGTGGCTTGTAATCCTGGATATATGTGTAAATCATGGATTTTAAAGTGCATATTTGTCTAATATTAGTTACTTTTCAATAATGAAGTTATGACGCTGCCGCTATATTTTTATTTTACCAGGATGCTCCCATGTTTGTGATTGGTCAAATGTTGCTAACCCCGCCCCTTTCACGTGAACGCGCTCTCAGCTGCAGAGAGAAACCCTGGCTTGATTTACCGACTTGATAACCAGCGTCGTATGACCGCTTAGCTAGATCTCGTTTCTTAGGGTTAGTTTAGATAACTCAAACATATCCAGGATATGTTGAACTGGCTTCGTGGTAGGCCTACATGGCACAGGTGGCTGCATAGCAGCGCTAATGTCAAAGACACAAACATTATACATTATATTTTTATTTTACCAGGATGCAGTGACACAAATATTTGGGAAGGCTTAGCCTTCCCTAGCCAACAGTACCCGCCACCCCTGTGAGATATTATATCCAAATTACAGATGATTATTTATTTTTTTAAAGCACAAATAGTCAACACAACAATATTGTCCTTGATAATGATAGTGAGGTTCTCATCAAACATATCGTGATATTGATTTTCTCCATATTATCCAGCCTTGTTTTGAAATGATGGCTAATAATCATAACCCACAATCCAGAATAAAAAAAGGGATTTTCATGTCATGAAGCTCACTGAGGAGCTCTATTTTTATATTTGTTGTTAATATGGGAATTTACAATAACTTCTGATCAGTAAAGCTGTCACTTTCAGTCTAGCGCTAACACCTCCACTGGAATGACCCTATGAATTCCCTCACAGCTGCCAGTGTCTCAAACTGACCTCTAATAGGATTGTTTAGCTTATACTTATGAACTCTGAAAAACACCCTGTCACTCTTCCAGCCACAGACTGGCCCGAGGCCGAAGCAGACCAATGTGAACATGTGAGAGACTCACGTGACATCTCCTGCATAGTGGCGAATACGGAACTGTTTCTGGAAGTCCATGGTTTTGTCAGTAGGGCTGAGCTAGAAATGAGAAGGGGACACTGTAAATAATATATACAATATTACAAACATTCACAGTGTACAGCTTTCAGAGGAGGGAATTACAGCTTTAGTGCCCCTGCTGTTGGAATAACTTGTTATGATCTCTCGTAATGCAAAGAAATAAAGAAACTCTGCTCTCTACTGACTGCAACGCAAAATTGCAGCTGCATTATAGTACATTTAAATACTGGTTGTTTTTTCTCTGTTAACTTTAACATACAAATTAAACGAAAGCACACATTCATTCATGGAGAAAAAATACTGAAATACGACTTCAATGTTTCTCTTTGGCACATCTATCTTCAAAGCCTCTTGATTTCCTCCATTTGAGTCTAAGGAGGATATGTCATCAATATATCTCAACTTCCTGCTAAGTAAAGTTACAACCACTCTTTTTAGAAATCCCAACATTTCAGTCTCATGCATCTAATAATGTAGGTAGAGAATGTCTTTCTAAAAAGCTCTTCTGAATATCGATACGAGATGCAGAGATATATCCGGGCTGATGGTGTTGGGATGTGTCTCACCTTGCGGGAGGTGTAGTGGGGGTGCTGGGCCAGCTTGGTGTCCATGCTCTCGAGGCAGACCGTATCGGTGACTTTACCAACAGTGAGGCACGCTTCGTCCAGAATGGAGATGATGCCTTTGTGGGGCTGCTCCACCAGATCCACAATGATCTGGTTGTTGAAGTAATCAATCTGTGAATGAGCAGTAAGCAAGAGGGAAATTCTTCATGAAACTTATGAATAATCTAGTTTTGGTCAAGTGGATGCTGGCTCACTTAGGCTGTAAGTGCTGTAAGGTGAGGTGTAAGAGTGTGTGTGTGTATATGTATGTATGTATGTATGTATGTATGTATGTATGTATGTATGTATGTATGTATGTATGTATGTATGTATGTATGTATGTATGTATGTATGTGTGTGTGTGTGTGTGTGTGTGTGTGTGTGTGTGTGTGTGTGTGTGTGTGTGTGTGTGTGTGTGTTTCTCACGTGTTGCCAGGTGATGCCCTCTCTCTGGTATTCTCCCTGCTCCTGTCTGAGGATCAGCTCGATGAAGAGCTGCTGCAGCTTCTCGTTGCAGTAGTTGATGCAGAACTGTTCAAAACTGTCCAGCAACAGAGGAACAGAAACATGAGCAACAGCATCAACAACAAAAACAACAACAACAACTCTACAAACACTCCTGACATCACAATATTAATCCCCAAAGCCATATATCAAATATGTGTTTTTCTACTTATTTTGAGAAATGTGTCACTTTTCTAGCATCCAGATATCCTTTATTATCTCAACAGCCCCTTTTTTCTTGTTTCAATAAATCACATTACGTGTTTTCATCTGACTGCACTGGTAGAATACTGCACTTGTTTTTCAAATCTGTGCTTGTCTTTTTCAGTATACCCCTTCTTTCATATGACAAGACAACACCAACCTGTTGTTGTCAAAGATCTCAAAGCCGTAGATATCCAGCACGCCAATGACTGTGTTTTTCCCATGAAGCACTGGGTTGTAGTCTTTTACTTCAATGACGCTGTTGATACGGTTTACAATCCAGCCGAAGAGTCTCTCATATAAAGCCTATAGAGCGGGGAAATAAGAGAGGGTTTAACAGAGCCGGAGATTTAAATAATTTGACAACTTTGAAAATTAAATAAAAGGAAATCTTGACACAGTGATGATGTTAATATACATTTTCCTGTCCCGGAGAAGCTTTAAAACGTTTAAAGGTGGGGTAGGTAATTTTGGAGAAACCAGCTCGAGAGCGCTAGAATTTGAAAATACACAGCCGGAAAAAATCTGCCACTTCCTTACAGAGCCCCACTACGGCTTCCACAGATGATATTTTTATTATGGATTTTTTGTCAAAGCACTTCAGATATTCATTGGTATCGGAGTGTTAAGAGCATTCCACGGAATATAACAAAAAGTGTATCTCGAGCCGGTTTCTCAAATGTACCTACCCCACATTGAATCTATCTGTGTAGTGTGGTACAGAAATATATGCCTAATGAGTCAACATTTTTGCAATTCTGGGCTCCTTCATCTTAAAATCAATGGCTTAAAAATGGCGATTGCTAACAAGTGGCTAAACAAGAGGACTAAAAGTCATCACGGGGAACATTAGCCACTATGAGCTTAGCGATGGTGACATGAAGTGATGCAAAAATGTTTGCTGATTCACTGTAAATTAACACACAAGGCATTATATACGCACCTTGGCGAAAGCGCTACATCCGAAGCAGGCGTCCTGCTCCGTGTGTCCCTTCTCGATGACCTCGCCCCCCCCGGTGGCCACGGTGCGGAACAGCAGGCCTTTACAGACGCTGTCCACGTCTGAGGCTATCAGCTCAGAGATGTGGTTAACAGCTTCCAGTCCCACGATCTGGACGCTCTCTCCATCGCTCTCAAACTGCACATTACCCTGAAGAACACACCATTACAGCTCATGATAGATCCAGAATCTTATATACTGACCTCATGGTAGCAACAACTAAGACATATACATTGGTAAGGAAAATGATTTCTGTATTTTCATATTACTTTAATCCTAGAATATCTGCATTAACTTTCTTTGATTTTATCAATCCATGTTCAAACTTACCAACAAGAGTATGGCAGCCAGGACCTGATAAATGGAAGTAATCTCCTCTTGTGAGAAGCCAATCGCTTCCAGAGCACTCATCACTGCTTTGTGGCTCGAGCGGTCATTGTTGGAGGTCTGTAGAAGGAAAGTATAGGTTTATTATACAGTCAATAGTATTCAGCTGAAGTTCAAAAGGGACAATCTGGGTTTTGGCTATTTGCGCCACAGAGAGTACAATAATGTATTTATTCTTAAAATGTGTGTGAGTTAACTGAGTTTGTTTAATATTAACTTAACTGCTGTTCTTCAAATGTGTTGTCAGTTGGGCCACCATAAGGTTTAATATAGCACACAACGTCAAAGGCAGTAACGTCACAGCAACACACAACATGGGTTAATTGTATTATGCTAACTTATGCTTCGTCTTCCCTCCCATGACCTAGGGAATTCTTGCCTCCGCCATCCTGAAGGATCTTCAAATCCCTTAAATGCAACTCAGAGAGCTAAGGAGCAATGAGGCTTTTGGAGGAGTGGAAGTCAAGTTTATAACAAGTGGCCTGAAATTCTAATAGAATCAAGGATTTCTCATTCGGCAGCTAAGACTGGGTAAAAGGACAGCAAGTTGCTAAGTTAGCACAATAAAAAGAAACCCATATCATCGATATCGTTCACATAAGTGAAGAAGAAATACAACTTGCAATGTATGACACCTGCAAGCCAAGGTGCTGTTTTGGAGAAAACAAAATTCAATGTTTTACAATTACATTTCAGTTTTCCATGAAATAAATAGTATTTAATTGTAATTAAAGTCCTGAGAAATAAATAATATTTGCCAGGATGATAGTATTCAGAATCAGAATATTTGATTGTCCTTTAAATTTACATATAATGGAAATGTGTCTTTGGCATTGGCAAATAAGACAAAATAACACAGTACACATACACACAGAAAGAGGGACATTGCATCATAAAATGACTAAGTGGCAGTCTTAATAAACATTATTATAACAGTGGTTTGTTCTTCCACTGGCTTGGATCCATCACAATATCAGTTGTATTAAAACTTTTAGAATTGACTTTACATTAAAAGGAAGTGCTGGTGTATGGTGCATCTCTAATGTTAAGGTGATAAACTCACGGCAGTATCAGCTCCCTCTTTGGTATACGTATAGAGAGCTGGATCTTTCTGTAGATGAAATGACCCCAGCATCTCATCTGAGCCTCCGCGCAGTAACTGTCATGAAAACACATCAAAGTTCATATCCAATTCAATACATCAAATAATGCAATTCAGGTATTAATATGGAGTATCATCAGTGCATGTTTGCAGCAGCATAAAGGTTACCTGGTAGAAGGAGTGGAAGTTCCTCTCCCCGTCTTGCTGCTGGACCACCCTGGACTTGAAGAGGAGAACACATTATGGTGGTAAAGCAGACATCCATACTCAGACATATTAACACTGATGGGCTCCAGGGGCCGCATTACAGAAGCTTCTTAACTTGCATCTCTTTTCCGTTATCATGGTAATAGTCTAGGGGTAGGAAAGAAGAAGTTAAACATGAACAGTTCTAGTCAATGTTCCAACGGGAGATAGGAACTTTAAACATTTTGAACCTCTTCCTCAGCACAAATACAATTCCAAAAGTATGGAAGTCTGCTTATATCTTGCCTTTACTGAAAGGAGGGGAGGCAACTATTTTAAATAACTATAGGCCAATCTCTAAATTGTCAGTTCTGGCTAAAGTACTCGAACGACTAGCGAGTGAGCAAGTAAAGGAGTTTTTATGTAAAAATGATATCCTGTCTAAACATCAGTCAGGCTTCAGGAAGAAACATAGCACCATCACTGCGACAATGAAAGTGGTGAATGACATTACTAGTATTTTAGATAATAAGCAGAGTTGTGCAGCTCTGTTTATTGACCTTTCCAAAGCGTTTGACACCGTTGATCATCGCATCTTAAAGCAGAGGCTACTCAGTATTGGCATATCCAGCCAGGCTACTCAGTATTGGCATATCCAGAGGCTGCTCTGTATTGGCCTTTCCAGAGGTTACTCCGTTTGGCATATCCAGAGGCTACTCAGTATTGGCATGTCCAGCCATGCAGTGGGGTGGTTTGTGAATTACCTCTCTGAAAGGTCCCAATGTGTTCATTTTGATGGGCTGTCTTCTGAGTGGTTAAACATTTCTAATGGTGTTCCTCAAGGTTCTGTTTTAGGTCCACTTTTATTCTCCATATATATCAACAACTTAGGTGATAATGTGGATGAAGCTACTTTACATTTGTATGCGGATGATACCGTGATGTATTGTGCAGGTCCCTCCATTAAGGAGGCGGTTGTTAAATTACAGGTTGTTTTTAACACTGTTCAGACTCAGCTCTCTGAACTAAAGCTTCTTTTAAATGTGGATAAAACCAAGGTGATGCTCTTTTCAAAAGCTAAAAAGACACCAGAGCCTGTTTTAGATATTGTAACTACGCAAGGAAAAAACTTGAAGTGGTAACCTGTTACAAATACCTTGGTATCTGGCTTGATGACTGTCTCTCTTTTAAACTGCATGTCAATAACCTGCTAAAAAAACTGAG